TACTACTCGGTAAGGATTAAAGCTGCTAAGATTGCTCACACATCAACTACACAAGTTTTTCTTCTCATGATTCATTATGAGTTTATAAAATTCCACAAAGTATTTGGTTGATTATCTTTAAGACAAATGTCAATGTGTCAGATGAAGATAACAGCTGGTCTTTACAAATGGAGAATTAACAGTTATAACAGAAAGAGCAGATTGATCTAAACAAATCCATCCTGTAGAAATATGCATACCTATATCGAGTTTAAGGAACATTTTCTGTGATTCAACCCATTTATTGAAAAATGATATACTTCCATGTTTCTGTTTGTTTCAGGTTTGGAAATCACAAAAGCTCAACGGGCCTGATCTTCAAAGATTCCAAATAAGGAGCGCTAAATTGAACAAGCAATAATTATTTTGTCCGTGCAAAGATTGCAAAACAAACTGCACAACCGTTCTGTCTTGTTACTCACAATATTGCATGTTCTTTTAGCAGTTTAATAGTGGCCGTAAAAGAAATAGAAGTTTCTATGCCGTGTAATCGGAGGTATTTATAATAAGAATTCAAAAAATAATGGTATTAATACTAAATAATAAAATATTGTGCTTTAAACAAATTAAAGAAAAATTTAACCATGCTTTATGGACAGTGAGTTTTTAAAATTAACACCAGAAATTTAGAATGAGAGGAAAACATAACCTCTGTTCATAAAAGTTTCCGCATAAACCATTTCAAAATAATGATGGACAACTCAGGGCAACCATCCAGTTGGTGACCAAGCAAATGCTTCAGATTTGAGCTGTATATCCCATCTGAAAATTGACATCTGTCTTCATTATTCCTTTACAATCTGCAGCTGTCAAGTTGCACAAGCCATGCAATATCAACACATCACCCTATCGACCCATGAAGCAGTCTTGCCCTCAAACTAGACAGCTAATAGGAGTATGTGGCCACCCTATGCCTAATGAGTCAGAGGCATACTAGAGCTGCCACAAATTCTACCTACCTTTGTATAGCAAGGATTTTAAATAACACAGTTTAAAAAAAATGCTAGAAGGGCTAATTATGAGATGCCAGAGAAAGTTCAAGAGGATGTAACTTTCTATCATTCTTTACGATCCGCAAAGCTCTACAGGTGCTGGTCATAAAATTAGAATATCATGAAAAAGTAGATTGATTTCAGTAATTCCATTTAAAAAGTGAAACTTGTATATTATATTCATACATTACATACAAACTCATATATTTCAGATGTTTATTTTGTTTCATTTTGATGATTACAAATGACAACAAATGAAAATCTCAAATTCATCATATCAGAAAATTAGAATATTGTGAAAAGGTTCAAAATTGATGGCCCCTGGTGCCACACTCTAATCAGCTAATTAACTCAAACCACCTGCAAAAGCCTTTAAATGGTCTTTCAGTCTAGTTCTATAGGCTACACAATCATGGGGAAGACTGCTGACTTGACAGTTGTCCAAAAGACGACCATCGACACCTTGCACAAGGAGGGCAAGACACAAAAGGTCATCGCTAAAGAGGCTGGCTGTTCACAGAGCTCAGTGTCCAAGCACATTAATAGAGAGGCGAAGGGAAGGAAAAGATGTGGTCGAAAAAAGTGTACAAGCAAGAGAGATAACCGCACCCTGGAGAGGATTGTGAAACAAAACCCATTCAAAAATGTGGGGGAGATTCACAAAGAGTGGACTGCAGCTGGAGTGAGTGCTTCAAGAACCACCACACACAGACGTATGAAAGACATGGGTTTCTGCTGTCGCATTCCTTGTGTCAAGCCACTCTTGAACCACAGACAGCGTCAGAAGCGTCTTGCCTGGGCTAAAGAGAAACAGGACTGGACTGCTGGTGAGTGGTCCAAAGTCATGTTCTCTGATGAAAGTAAATTTTGCATTTCCTTTGGAAATCAAGGTCCTAGAGTCTGAAGGAAAAGAAGAGAGGCACTTCATCCACGTTGCTTGAAGTCCAGTGTAAAGTTTCCACAGTCAGTGATGGTTTGGGGTGCCATGTCATCTGCTGGTGTTGGTCCATTGTGTTTTCTGAGGTCCAGGGTCAACGCAGCCACATACCAGGAAGTTTTAGAGCACTTCATGCTTCCTGCAGCTGACCAACTTTTTGGAGATGCAGATTTCATTTTCCAACAGGACTTGGCACCTGCACACAGTGCCAAAGCTACCAGTACCTGGTTGAAGGACCATGGTATCCCTGTTCTTAATTGGCCAGCAAACTCTCCTGACCTTAACCCCATAGAAAATCTATGGGGTATTGTGAAGAAGAAGATGCAATACACCAGACCCAACAATTCAGAAGAGCTAAAAGCCACTATTAGAGCAACCTGGGCTATCATAACACCTGAGCAGTGCCACAGACTGATCGACTCCATGCCACGCCGCATTGCTGCAGTAATACAGGCCAAAGGAGGCCCAACTAAATACTGAGTGCTGTACATGCTCATACTTTTCATGTTCATACTTTTCAGTTGGCCAACATTTCTATAAATCCTTTGTTTTTATTGGTCTTCAGTAATATTCTAATTTTCTGATATGATGAATTTGAGATTTTCCTTTGTTGTCATTTGTAATCATCAAAATTAAACAAAATAAACATCTGAAATATATGAGTTTGTATGTAATGTATAAATATAATATACAAGTTTCACTTTTTAAATGGAATTACTGAAATCAATCTACTTTTTCATGATATTCTAATTTTATGACCAGCACCTGTATAAACTGCCTCCCTGACCTGTTTCTCTGCACAGCCGGCAGGATATTGATTCCAGCAGGTTTTCCTTGTTTACAAGAAAGAAATTATACTTTTGTTTAGCAACGCACTGCTCAAAAAAACAATCTCTAGGAGAGTTGCTTATCCCTTATATTCATGTAACGTTTAATTCTTCCTTTGGGAAACTACACTTTGCTTCAGGCTAGATATCCAAGCATAGCAGTAACAGCCATTCAAAATGGCCCTTTCCAGTCAAACACCAGCAGAATGGCAGCCCATTTCCCTGCAGCTCCTGGCAAAATCCCATCTAACTTCCAGCCACTGGCCTTCTCCTGGGCGTGCAATTGTTTTTTTACTCTGACTCCACCCTTTCACTGAATTACAGGGTCTGACCAGGAGATGGTGCTTCCCTTTAGATCTTCATGTCCACAAATCATCACAGAAAGAATATTTTAGTGCAAATATTGATGTTTAAAAAGGAATTGTAGGGGACCAGCCAAGGGCCCATCAAGGAATGTGGGGAAATGTTGAATGGCAGAGATGGCAAAAGTACTCACTTTCCATACTTGAGTAAAAGTACAGATACTTGTGTTAAAAAATACTCTGGTAAAAGTGGAAGTACTGATTAAACTTCTTTACTCAAGTAAAAGCAACAAAGTACAGGCTTGTAAATTTACTTAAAGTATAAAAGTAAAAGTAGAAACCACTTTTTTCATGCCGTTGCCTACATTTTAAATGGATGTCTGCCAATAGGACCAGATCTCCGTTGTGTTCATTTTCAATCATCTCGTCCTCCATGCTACTATGCTAACGCCACCGCCACCAAGCTGCAATGATTTGCCGCCAATGAATACCGCCGAATCTGTCGATTCATCTTGTAGTGGTGCGTCAAATGCAGCATACTGACTGGGAAGTTTTATTGCCGAATACGGAATGTTTACTGAAGCTGTCGCAGTGGATACCTTGAGAGTTCGCTACGCTGGTGAGTAAGTAAAGTTTTGAATGAAAGGTGACGTTGTAATTTCAGAACTAGTGTAAATTACCGGGTGAATTGTTTGGAACTGCCGCCGCCATGACGGCCGGTCTGTGGTGCATGCTGGGAAATGTAGAGAAGGATGTGACGCTGTGTGTGATAGACGGCGGCGGCTATACTTTGGGAACAGAGGGGGAAAACGGCTCCGTTTTCACAGTATCGATGACGTGAAAAATAATAACGGTAACTCCATTGAAATGATTCAAAACTAAAGTAACGAGACAATTTTTAAAAATGTAAGGAGTAGAAAGTACAGATATTTGTGTAAAAATGTAAGGAGTAGAAGTAAAAAGTCGCCATAAAAATAAGTAGTAAAGTAAAGTAAAAATATCAGAAAAATCTACTTGAGTACAGTAACGAAGTATTTGTACTTCTTTACTTCCCATCTCTGTTGAATGGCTACTACTGTATCCAGCTAATGCAGCTAATATTCTCTGTGTACCTCTATGCAGTCTAAAAAAATAATAAAATAAAATGTATCAAGTGTTCTGGAATTAGCATCTGAAGACTACAGTCAAATTTAGTAACAAATAAATAAAACTTGAAATAAGTGAAATGCATTTAACAATATCAAAGAAGGTATTTAAAGTATCTTTGGGGGTAAAGGGGAGGATGTGTGGTGATAAGTTTACCGTCCTACGTGCTCGTACACGTTTTCACTTACTGGTGGTGAGTCGTGGAATACTTGCAAAACTTCTTCTGGAAAGTAAGCTTATAAACAGCGACTTTTAGACAGAACGTGCACGAGGAGAAATGGGCTTGTGCAAGCTCTTGCACACATTTATTACACTTTACCCCCTGGAGTGGATACAGCGTTGTGCATATGCATTTCCTTTTTTTTTTTTAAGAGGAGAGGATGGGTCTTTTCAAAAATTAGCAACTAATCTTCCATTATACCTGTAAATATTGGAACATGTGGCTATTTTTACTCAAGGTATTTACATCTGGCAAATCTCTCATTAAATTGGAGCTTTATGCTGGAAAACAGATTCGAATAATTATAGTGATTTAAATGATGCATTTTAGTCAATCTTTTATGCCCATCCTGTTGAAACATTTAAAAGGTGACAATATTGTTGAGTGTGTAAATATTTGTAATAATTCACTTACATATTGCTTGACTCTAAATATATTAATATACACTCTGAAAGTTGGAAATGTGATATGCATTTTAGAATGCTCAACATTTTTGGGGGGTTTCCTATATTCAAAATAACCAAACTAAAGGCTTACCTGCAGCACACTCCTCCTCATCTGCCCCGTTTTCACAGTCCCTCTCTCCGTCACATCGCCATGATAACGAAACACATTTGCTGGCAACTCCTCCACAATCAAACTTATCTGGTGGACAAGTCTGTCGGCCTGTTGTGAGAGGGGGCGGGAAAGCAAACGAGGAAAACGCAGAGGGAATGACAGAAAAGGGAAACATGAGAGAAGAGAGGGGGGAAATGGGAAGAAAGAAAGGAGATGGAATAGCAAAAATGGGACAAGAAATGGAGAGAAAGAACAGTCAGTCAATGAAACAGTTTGATAACTTAGTTATCTTGTTGCCAAAATCGATTTCTTCTCAAAGGCCTGCTATTTAACTAGACACACAGCAACAGTGGAACAAAGAACGCTGTCAGGGCAGACAAAAACCTGGAGAAATACACACACATTTATACAAACGTTATAAAGAAACACTGGAAAACAGCAGAAAAACAAGCACGGCCGTCTGTGTAAATGTGACTGTGAATAAAATGGTAAAGCTTTCTCGACCACAAAGCATTTTTTTTTCTTTTATATTCTGCTGAAATTCAGCCTGAAAATTATCCAAAATAAATAGAGATATAATAAATGTAGAACAAATTAAAGTGCCATGATGGCTAAATTTCTGCATTTCTTTATTCTCTTTTCTAAAGCAGGTGAAATTAAGTCAAGAGGGAAGGTACATTTCACAGACTTTCATCAAGTCTCCTGAACAACATCTTGTATTGGACTCAGAACAAAGTCCCCTTAGATGAAAGACCATTACAGCCAGGCCATTGTTCCTTTTGGTGTTCCTCCATGGGGACTTGTAAAAATGAAAAATACAGCATTCTTATACATCAAATTTACACTGAGTCACCAGACCAAATCCCCGTCCTTTTCCTCTTAAACCAGTGTGCACACTTGCCCCACACATAAAAACACACCCACATACTATTCTAATACCAATGAGACTCCAGCCCCAGATCACATTACATGCCTGTGTCAAGCCCAACTCCATCAATTATACATATTTGACCTGGCAGCACAGCTATGTTTGTGTGTTGCAGGCACAGATCAATAGTACCTCTGGGATTTGCCCATTCCAGACTCATTCTTTTTTAATTCATCTCATATTTCTTCTTTTTCATTTTGATTTTCACCAGCACTTTACCATCTCACACTATTTATATGTTACTTGTTATGATGGAAGCAAGAGATTTGGGCCTTGCTGCTATACGTTGTTTTTTTTTCTTTAGCTGTGTGACCTTTAAGTTCAACAATTTTGATTTGGGGGCTTACTTCTAGTCTTCATTTCTTATTTAGCTGATGTTATTTACAGTTTCCAATTTCCTCTTCTTTTCCCACTTATGATCAATACAGATTCCTGTTTGAGCTTTTTTATTTCAAAACATTTCTTCCTTAAAAACGGCTTCATCTGGCCTTTAAAAAATAAAACATTGTCAACAATCCCTGTCTAAAATGTACATATAAATATATATGTCATACAGTACAGTGATTATGCTTATCACAGTGACTGCATAAATTTGAATGTGGATTAATTTATACATCAGGTAATGCAATGCAACACCCCACTGAGAAGGTACAAATCTAAAGACCAAAGAGTAAGCGACCACCTTATACCAGAGAGTAAATAAAATAAAAAATCACTAGTTAGTTATGGCTGTTTTGAAGCCTTGAGTTTGGCCTTTAGCCATTACCTGCTTGGCGAAAACATCCATGTTAAAGCCATTCTTTTCATAAATAATACCGTACCCATATAATGAAACCACTAAACAGAGAAAAGCAACCTAACATTAAACGAACAACTCAATTTTTGTATAATTTTTGCTTCAAAGCCTGACTTTGATTCCTTCAAGGATCTTTCTGCAATTGTGGCCAAATATCAAAAAATATGCCTCATTTGACTGCTACGCTTCTCTCCTTGGAGCATTTGGTTTCTCCTTATGAACTTTTGTAAATTTTAGTTTAATTTAACAGTTTTCAAGTCAAAACAGATCTAAATTAGCGTCCTGTTACCGTTGTTCATGTTTATGTTAACTTTTTATCATTGCAAACTTTGAAGAGACAAAGTTTATAATTAAAATACATATGAACATGAAAGTTTTTAGAAAAGCAGAGAAAATCCTGCCACAATGTAAGGGAAAGAAACTTTTACCCAAGTATAAGTAGTTCCCTGTATATTTGTGCACAGCTATCTGCACAAATTTACATAATCGTTATCAGTAGGTGATTAAAATGAGAACCAGACATAAGAGACTAATCACTTACAATAAGAGCAATCATGAAATATGGTCATAGAAAAACCTAATACAATTTAAAAATATATTTTTTTCATGGTTTAAATCACCCAAAACTAAATCTCACAATTTACATTTGACCTAAAAAGCTGCTGGTCACATGCAGAAGGAAAGCACCTCTTACTGTTTGGATGTCATTTCCTAATATTCCAAAAAAATTTGATTTTAAACACATTCAATTTCTTATTACTCTGTTTCTATTAAACCTTAAGCTCCATAGAATCCATCAGTTGCTTGACTGAAACTGTTATAGAATTATTCTATGTCTGATCATAAGTGTTTATTTAGTACAGTGAAGCCAAACACCATTAATGCAATACTGTGTTAGTCTTTTACAAGCCATCACCAGTAAAAAATTTCCCTATGGGGAAATCCGCTATATACACTATATTGCCAAAAGTATTTGCTCACCTGCCTTGACTCACATATGAGCTTAAGTGACATCCCGTTCCTAATCCATAGGGTTCAATATGACGTCGGTCCACCCTTTGCAGCTAGAACAGCTTCAACTCTTCTGGGAAGGCTGTCCACAAGGTTTAGGAGTGTGTTTATGGGAATTTTTGACCATTCTTCCAGAAGCGCATTTGTGAGGTCGCACACTGATGTTGGACGAGAAGGCCTGGCTCTCAGTCTCCGCTCTAATTCATCCCAAAGGTGTTCTATCGGGTTGAGGTCAGGACTCTGTGCAGGCCAGTCAAGTTCATCCACACCAGACTCTGTCATCCATGTCTTTATGGACCTTGCTTTGTGCACTGGTGCACAGTCATGTTGGAAGAGGAAGGGGCCAGCTCCAAACTGTTCCCACAAAGTTGGGAGCATGGAATTGTCCAAAATGTCTTGGTATGCTGAAGCATTCAGAGTTCCTTTCACTGGAACTAAGGGGCCAAGCCCAGCTCCTGAAAAACAACCCCACACCATAATCCCCCCTCCACCAAACTTTACACTTGGCACAATGCAGTCAGACAAGTACCGTTCTCCTGGCAACCGCCAAACCCAGACCCGTCCATCAGATTGCCAGATGGAGAAGCGCGATTCGTCACTCCAGAGAACGCGTCTCCACTGCTCTAGAGTCCAGTGGCGGCGTGCTTTACACCACCGCATCCGACGCTTTGCATTGCACTTGGTGATGTATGGCTTGGATGCAGCTGCTCGACCATGGAAACCCATTCCATGAAGCTCTCTGCGCACTGTTCTTGAGCTAATCTGAAGGCCACATGAAGTTTGGAGGTCTGTAGTGATTGACTCTGCAGAAAGTTGGCGACCTCTTCGCACTATGCGCTCCAGCATCCGCTGACCCCGCTCCGTCAGTTTACGTGGCCTACCACTTCGTGGCTGAGTTGCTGTCGTTCCCAAACACTTCCATTTTCTAATAATACAGCTGACAGTTGACTGTGGAATATTTAGGAGCGAGGAAATTTCACGACTGGATTTGTTGCACAGGTGGCATCCTATCACAGTTCCACGCTGGAATTCACTGAGCTCCTGAGAGCGACCCATTCTTTCACAAATGTTTGTAAAAACAGTCTGCATGCCTAGGTGCTTGAATTTATACACCTGTGGCCATGGAAGTGATTGGAACACCTGATTCCAATAATTTGGATGGGTGAGCAAATACTTTTGGCAATATAGTGTATATCTGACTGACAGCTGAGTTAAAAGGATGCAATTTGTCTGACTAGCCATTTAAGGCCCCTTGGCGTCTGGAAAGGACGGTTGTAGTAGAACTGTATATTAAACAGCCGAACATAGAGGAGTATAAACAACAAAGGAATTTGCTAATATTAATGATGACTTATAATATTAGACAATTTTTTATACATTTTGTCTATAATGGATAATAATCTAATCTTTCTGTTAAATCTACTAATAGTGGGGGGCATTAATAATACATCTCATCGTAATAAAAATAAATTGCCACAATTTCCCCATTGTGGGACAATAAAGGGATTTTCTATTCTATATTATTCTAAATTACTAATTAAAATGCTTGCTTTTTTATTAAGAAAGTACCAATGTCACTCCTTCAAGAGCCTGTATTAATATAAAGAACAGTACAGTTTGAATCCAGGACCCTGGGTCACTTTGCTTATGTCAGGCAACTGGGATAATAACCAAAGAAATAATATCAGAAGCATTAAAGCTTAAAGAAATATAGAAAGGTTTTTATTTGTAAAAACTAGTGATAACATGGGACAAGATGTTAAAGACTGAACAAGAATCAAAGTCATAGTGAAGGATATCTGATCGCTGATTAATAACAGCATTTCTTATGTTCAACTAAAAACCTGAAACATTCAAAGTAATCAAATCTCAGATATGTTCAAAGAAAATCTAAAAAATGAAAATAAAAATTATAAGCTTTTTTTTGTTTTAAGACCAACTTGTATAGTTAGAAATATTTCCATGCAACACTGAAAAACAACGTAATATCTATTATCCTTCCATTTTCCAAAACCTCTATATGACATGCTCTTTTATATAAACTTGAATCTAAACTGTTAATGGAATCATTTAAGGTAAAAAGAAAACAAAAACTTTGTACAGTTGTTTTAGGATGAGGGATTTTCATTCTGTTCAACAAAAACAAGTGCAAATGGAAGCACACTTAATATTCCCCTCACACAGGCTGCCTAAGTGTCTATTATGAGCGGGGTATAAGGGTGGACTGAGCAAGGTGCTGTATGCTAATGAACCTTTGATTAACTACTTTCTTAAATTTCCTTCAAAACAAGGGAGGGAATGAAGCACACAACTGCATTCTCTAACACACTGCTTGGCTAACATCGAGCTAAACTCCCATGTGATTGATTAGGA